ATCTTTTTTACTGACACTTAGCTTGACTTTGGTCAAGACTGTCATAAAAAAAACTTGAGACTTTGCATAGCCATTGTGATCATTCACTCTGGGGGACCATCTCCTGCACGAACCCAGTTATAAGGTCATGAAATGTGCCAGAGCTGGTAGAGAAAAACTTGTGTGTTTGAAATTTAAGAGCATGTTTTATTCCCTCTGGTAGTCTTTCTGAAATTCTGTGAGTAGAACTTACCTAGTTTGATTCTTCTTTACTTGGAAATCATGAATAGTTTTTCTTGGAAGTGACCAGATGGAAAAAATTAAAAGTGTTTTAGAAGAGCTATTAGTGCTGGGTGGATTTTTTTTTTCTAGAAGGCCTTTTATTTTTATTTAGGCTTAGATCAAGAACATTTATGAGATTAATGTTAGCTTATCCAACATGATAAACATTGTTTTTATTAGAATTTTAAGCCACAGCTATATGCATTGATGGGCTGGACTTTGTTTTCAATGATTGTCTTTATGTCTCTTGAACATTAAGAAGACAACAAAATGAAAAATTTCACTATGGTTTTGCTTCAAATGGCATAAGGTATTGTCTTTAAAAATATGAACCTGAGTAAGCAGCCTTTTCACAGAAAATATTTAGTCCTGTTCTTACTGCCCCTACTGGATGTTGCTTGGTAAAGAACAAGTACCAAAAGGGTAATGGGGACTGCTCAAAGAACAACCAGCTTCTACTACTAGATTTCCGGGGGGAAAAATAAATTCTACAGGAAAATAATGAGTAAACTCAAAGAAATTCCTTTTCTTCTTAAATTTTGTAAACACATACCGTAATCCCAATTAGCAGAAGTCAAGGTGTTGAAATCCTCAACATTTCCACAAATGGGAAGGTACTTTATAAGATTTTCATGGTGCAGGCATAAACGCTGTGGATTGGCCAAAGGAAGAGCAGGACTCTAAGATCCAGAGAGACAGCCAGATACTTGGATGACCTGTGAATGCAAGGTAGTGGCTCTGCCAGAGCAGGGCATCTGGCCATTAGCGTGTCCCTTGTATAGTTTTACAAGGCAGAGGTTTGGTGTAGAAAGAAAGGAGAAGCCTCTGGAATAATACAATTCTGGGGCCAAATTATGAACAGCTTCATCTTCCACAGATTTCTGAATCTCTCCAAACATCTGTTCTCTCATTTCTGAAATAGGGACAGAAAGTAAAGGGATGTTGGGAAGCAAAGTATCTGGTGGGGCTCACCAAGGTGAATTCTCTTCCACTTGGCATTGATGTCTGTCTGGGTCAGGCTTATATTTAATTTGTCAGTGTACTTCACCAGGAGGTATTTATCTTAAAGGGTCACAGCTCTCTCTCTGCATACACCAGCTCAATAAATATACAGACCATGTTATCCCCCAAGAAGAATACAAAGGATTTAGGGAGGTAAATTTTAGCCAGTTTGAAAGTAGCTGTAGAATAGTAGAAAGAACAATAGCCTTGAAGTTCTAACCCCACACTCAGCCTGTTACTTTTACCTGTCGGACCCTCAGCTTCCTCATTTGTGTGATGAAGCAGATGCCTGCTTGGCAGGGAGGATATGACAATTTAGTGAGGTGTGCAAAAGTGCCGAGACCATAGTAGATGGCTAATGAAAGTTTGTTATGGAAAAATCAAATAAAAACATTATCATTGGCTGAAAGTGGAAAGGACGCCGGACTTCCTGATACGTTTTTAGCATAACATGAGCAAAGACACCTCAGCAGCTTGTTGTACCTATGATCGTTCCTCTGTTTTCATGTTCATGCATAGTATATATTAATATTGCATTGATTATTTTTTCACAATGGCTTGCCAGAGGACCTTTACTCATTATCTTGTTACAACCCAATAAGTGGGTGAATTCTTCCGTCCAGTGTCTTTGGCACAATCAAGTATATCTCAACATGTTTTTCAAGTTGCTCTATGTAAGTCCTGGTCTGTTCCCCTCTAGTTAGAAAGCCTACAGAAAAAGGCTTTCTTAGTCTCATGCTTCAATACAAGATTGACATGTTTTGCTTATACAGAGATGATGACAGGTCTCCAAATAGCTCGTGATATGTGAACTTGATTGTGCTTCCAGGGGTGAAAAGGGATTTTGAATGAACCATTTACCTACATTTAACCTGGTGCTCCTGGTGATACCTTGAGAGCAAAGACACATTTTTGAGAGAGAAGTGACAGGTCACATATAGGGTAAAAAATCAAGTAGACTTTGAATGGAGTTCATGCTAGAAAGACATTACTAGGTTGTTCACCTCTGATATAACTGGTTCTTGCAAAATTTATGCTAGTTATTTTTCAGTTGGCTTAAATACAGTAACCAAGACACAAATTTTACAGGAAAGGTCCCACAGAAATAAATAATAATAACTGTGAATATGATCTTTTTGTTTCTGAAAAATTCTAACTGGAAGTTTCACTTTCATATTCCTTTACATTTCAGTAATGAAAAAATTTTATTATCCTTTAAAGGTAAACCTGATGTTACCCTGAACCTTCAAAGGAGCTTATTTGGTGCCCTGTTTTGAAATATGAATACAAATAAACCAATCATTGTAAAATGCTTTTCACATATTGTAAGATATGGTATTATCTGAACCTCACGTCACTTATGATAAAACAAGGAAAAAGGTATCCTTTTTAATACAAAGGTAAAACAGAGGTAAAGAAAGACATGACAATGCTAAAGAAATAGGACATTTTTATTTACTATGTTTGCTTACGTGATGTCATGTTTTTCTAGCAGTTTTGTTTGGTTGGTTTTTTAATGAACACAGAGAAGACATGATACCAGTTCCCATAGTTTCGGATCCCTCAATTTCTCCAATTTCCAATCCATTACTGCAGTATAATTTCTTATTCAATTTATAGTTGAACTCTTACCCCAGTTATAGTGGCTGATAATGGATCATTCATCCAATTTCTATTGGTATAGAGCCAAACAAATGAAAAGTGGAGTGCAGTCATTATTATCAAGTAAATTCACTTGTACCATATACATGTAGAGTATATAATGTCTAGGTGGAATCAAGAGAACCAATTTTCAGCAAAAATCAGCCCTTCCAGAGGACAGTCCATTTACAAAGCATCGTACTCAGGGATATTTGGCCCACGAGGGTCATGTTCATCATCCCCTGATACTTAGTGTCAAGTAGCTCAGGTTTTCCTTTTTTTTTTTTTTCATGCTAATTTATAAGGATTGGCATGTTCTATTTTTTTAATTTTTTAAATTATCCAAATTTTAATTTTGGAGAAGCAGATCAAATTGGATGAGTTCCTGGAACCATTCTTTATGGATCCTCAGTGTTCAGATGTCCTGGATGTGGTGAGGTTAACATTGACCTTCCGAGTTGGAGACTAGCTCTTCTGGCCTTGTCTTCCACATGGATAATAGTACCTGGAAGCAGCGAAGTTACAAAGGATACAAATGATCCGTTCCAAGCTTTCAAGAACATCTGGTAGTTTTTAGTTTTTCTTCCCTCATATTTCTCCACTAGTATATTTTCTCTCAATGCAGAAACACCTTAGAATATAGACTTATGACAGTATGAAAGCTGTTTGGAACTGTAAATCCTGATTTGCTATGCTGCTCCCCCCACCCACCCACCCTCCCACACACATATGTAATAATGCTGAGAGGAAACAATTAAAAATAATGTCAGCTTTATTGCACCTGAGTTTACAACTTTTCAACACAGCAACTGCAGCAAGACTTGAAGAGACATCCAAAGGACTCATAAAATGCCCTTAAATATCAATTTGAAAGGGAATTCGTTTGTAACCTTTCTGTTCTGCCAAAAAAGGGAAATTTCCTGAAACGTTTGCCGATTTTTCTCAGACTCAGGGTATAATGCCCTAGATACTGAGATCCTCTGGAAATTATTGAGACAGCTTGCAACTTTCTCATTCTCATTCATCCAGGAAAGGAAACAAATAAGCATATCTTTTATGATGTGGCAATGGGAACACTGGAATGTATTGACTGATCTGTTAGAGAAGTGAGATGCCAAGAATGTCCTCTTTCAGCTGCTGGTATCTGATGTGTTTCCCCAAATAAACCCAGTCATAGACCTGAGACTTCTTACAAGTTCATTGTATGCTTTCCCAAATTATCGTTCTAAATCAGGCTTTCTCAACCTTGGCTCTCTTGACAGTTTGGGTCAGGTAATTCTTTACAGCAGGGAGGGGAATGTCCTGTGCATTATGGAATGTTTAGTAGCATCCTTGGCCTTTACCAATTAGATGCCAGTTAGCACCCCCACTCAATTATAACAACCAAAAATGTCTCCAGACATTGCCCGATGACCCCTGGAGGACACATTGCCCTTGGTTGAGAACCATTGCTGTAAATCTTGGCAAAAACAAACAAGCAAAACAACTTTAATACGTCTAAGGCTTAAGAAGTAATTTAGGATGTTATATATATCTAGGATTTTATATATATCTAATAATCCTATATAGATATATGCTAGATATATATTTATAGTATATACTACATATATAATATACACTATATTATTTTAGTCTTATATAGCTATAATATATAGATACATATTTAATATGTATTTAGTATATATGTATATCTATATCTTTTTGTGTCTTTCATATACAAGTCTCTAAGCTCTTTGATTGGTCCCCTAAGAGAAGCTAAGGATTAGCTTCAAAACAATTTTCTTCTCCATCATAACTCTTGCAAGATGCGTATATTTTGAAAAGTGGTTTTAATATGGGGCTGCCTGTTTAGTACTGATAGAAACCATTTTTGCCTTCTGCACATCACCCAGGGCATCTCAGATCTTAGTTGGGGAAGAGTATGTTGCTGGGCTAGCTTCAAGTGTAATCATATCACTACTTTTAAATATATTTGCTGGTAGGACGATCTTATGTGCAGCTGTCTCCAAGAGCTAGCCAACAAGTGCCTCATTGGGACAGGTTTTCCATCTTCCTCTCCCACACCTTTTTTTTTCTCTCCCTTTTCCATGCTACAGGTATATTGATCTTGTTGAGAGAGCTCACTCAGAGAAGTAATCAAGACAGCAATGTATTGAAAACAAAGCCATGAATCTGACAAGAAAGGTACTGAAGGTAAGTAAGAAGATGGGGTTGCATTTTTATGATGTGTTAGAAAAAGTCATCCTCGAAAAATCTGGCTCTGGAGGCCAACAATTATTCACTTTGGGGGAATGTATCATGCAAAAGATCTCTTGATTTTAGGAAATCTTAAAATGACCTATATTGTCCTGGGTGCTTTACTCGGGAACATGGACCAAGTTTCAATCTGAGAAAGAATGTTGACTTAATGCAGGAGCTTTTTCTGGGCCAAGTTCCCTTCTTTGTAATCTCCCAAGTGTTATAATTAATATATATTTGAAATCAAAGATACGTGAACATGGAATTTCGCCCACAGATTAATTATTTGGGTTTTCAGAATTCGGGAGAATTTACTGGCTGAAGCAGATGTTTCTGAATTTTATCTCTTCCCTGAAGTCTCTACAGATTGAAATTCCTTTTAGACGGCATGATTCAAGAGTTTGATAACCTAAAAATAACCATCCAATAAAGTCACTGCACCTTTCCTCAGTGTTTCTGATCAGATGTTTTTCAAGAAAACACTGACATTTGTACCAAAGCTCTTATGTTAGTGATCTCTTAAAAGTTCAAATCTGTAATGGAGAATAAGAAAAGTTTACACAGTCATAGACCTAAGACTATTTCTTGACTTCATCCTAAATGTAATACTTTGCTCTTTACAAGTCCTTAAATATGTAATAACTCTGAAAGATGTAAATTCCCTATGAATCTCTACTTTGTCCAAAACTTGAAACCCCATCTCCTTAACTTGGAACAAATTTCATCCATTAATACTGTATTGGCGTGAAAGGGAAGCCAAATGTAAGGAGAGTACTAACAAGTCGAAGTATGTTCATTTGCGTAGGTTAGTAACCATAAAATTCACAGTAAAAGAAATTGTGTTGGTAAGGAATACAAGTCCGTTCTGAAGATACACACACACATGCAGGGTGCCAAAAATATGTGTACACATTTCAAGAGAGGAAAACTGTATTAAAATTGTGATACATATTGTGATACTCTCTATATACCAATAACAAAAGGTGAATACAAGTCACGTTTGACTTCTGCAGTTACAAGAGGTGCTCAAAGTGGTTACCATCAGCGTCCAGACACTTCTGATTACGGTGAACTACTGCTTGAGCAACATTGACCAAAGTGTCCACTTGTATATATATACTCCCTGTTTTCTCCTTTCATTAGCAGTGTTTACATTGTATACATGGAGATCAACATCCATTGGCCACTTTTGGGTGATAAGGTAGAAAAGAAGAACCAGAAGACTAAATTGTCTCATTTGCCCTCATTTTTGATCTGAGAAACTAAAGAGGATGTTGGTGGTTAGTATTGCTAAATTTTTTACCCCACACCATAGGGCATAGGAATACAAAGCCCTTAAATGGTTTCTCTGTAATCGTTAAATTATAAGATGATTATGGCCGATTCTTTAGAAAATATGAAAATAGGACAGAGCTTTTTACCCAGTGCTCATCTTTTGAAACTATCACACTAGAGTCCCCTCATGGAATAGGTCCCATGCAATCTCCTAGCCTTGACTGAATCCAATCCATTCATTCAACATTCAACAATTTTTTTTAGTAGTTTGATATGTCCCTGGAAGTATCCTAAGAACCAAAAATACATTGGTGAACTATAAAAACTCATGGAGCTTCTATTCTAGTGTAGGATAAGAGGAGAGGGACAGTAAGAAATTAAACCAATAAAAAAAAGATAATTTAGATAGTGATAAGTTCCATAAAGAAAATTAAACAGGGTAATAGATTAGGAAGTAATGACCAAGATGTAGAGGAGATTTTAGATTGAGTTGTTAGGGCGTGGCTCTCTGGAGAGGTCACATTTGAGCTTAGACATGAACGATAAGAGTCATCCAAATATGTAGACTTAGGAGAAGAACATTTCAGATGAAGGGAATTGCAATGATGACCTTATGTTAGGAATGAGGTTGGTGTCCTTTATTTGTAGAAGAAAACCTAGTAGCTCTAGATTTTAGGGTGTGATACTATTATGCACTGAATTGTGTCCCTGACCCCAAATTCATATGTTGAAGCTCTAACACCCAAAGTGACTTTATTATGGCCTTAAGGAAGTAATTAAAGTTAGTTGAGGTCATAAGGACAGGGCCCTAATATGACAGAAGTGTATCCTTATAAGAAGAGAAAAAGACACCAGATATCTCTCTCTTTCCACACATGCACACAGAAAACTTCATGTGAGGACACAGTGAGAAGGCAGCCGTCTGCAAGGCAGGAAAAAAGACCTCACTAGAAACCAAACCTGCCAACGCCTTGTTCTTGGACTTCCAGCCTCCAGAATTGTGAGAAAATACATTTCTGTTGTTCAAGCCATCTAGTCTGTGGTACTTGGTTATGGCGACCTAACCTAGGGGCCGGTTGAAAATAAGGCCAGTGACTAGTTTATGTAAATAAATTACTCTGTGAGTTAGGAAGTTTTCATTTATTTGAAGTGCAGTGGAATGCCATTAGAGGATTTTAAAAAGAAGAGTTGATGTGGTCTGATTTATATTTTGAAGATGTCACTCTGGCTGCTGTGTGAAATTATCCGTCGGGAGTATGGAGAGTAGCAAGAGAGAGACCAGTTGGGATTCTCAGGGAAGAAATAATAGTGGCTTGTATGAGGAATGGTCATGGTGGAGATTATGAAAAATGTTTGAATTCAAGATGTATTTTGAAGATAGGGCTAGCAGAATTAGAGAGTAAACTGGATATGGTTTTTGAGAGTATGAGAGAAGTCCCGAGACAGTTTTGGCTTGGTCAAATGGAGGTAGGGTGATTTAGTGAGGTACTGTTTTTCTATCTGGGAAGGAATAGGCTATTTGAGTTCAGTGGGCAGGAATTGAAAGTTCTATTTTGATTGTGGTGGAGATATCAAATGGGAAAGTTGTATATGTAAGTTTGGAGCTCAGTAGAGCAGTCCTAGTTGGAGATATAATTTTAAGATTTATTGGAGAGCGGAAGGTATTTTAAAGGGACTAAAATTAAATTTTCTAAGGATAGACTGTAGATAGAAAAGAATCAGAATTCAATGACTGAGATCCAGGTCACTCCAATGTTTAGAGTTCTCTCAAACATTTAAAGAAGAGTTAGCGAGATTCTACACAACCTCATCTGGAAAACAGAACCTGAAGAAACACTTTTCAACTCCTTTCATGAGGCCAAAATTACCTTGATTTCACAAATAGACAAAGGCGGTACAGGGAAAAAAAAGCTATAGACCAGTATCTCACTGAACTTAGACATAAAATTCCTAAACGAAATATAAGCAACTCAAATCCAGCAATATTTAAAATCAGTTATATACCACAGCCAAAAAGGATTTATTCAGGTTATGCAGTGTGAGGTAAATATTTGAAATTCAATTAGTGTAACCTACTATATCAGCCAACAGGCTAAAGAAAAATCACGTGATCATATCAATTGGTAGAGATCAAACATGATAAAATTTGAAACGCATTTATAACATATGTATTTAAAACCTCTCTTGGAAAACAAGAAATAGAGGGGAAGATCCACAGTTTGATAAACAGCATATCCGCCTTCCCCCCAAAACAAACAAACAACAACAACAAAAAAACCCAGCTAGCATCATACTTACTGGTGGATTGCTGAATGAGTTTCCACCAAGCTCAGGAACAAGACAAGAGTCTTTGCTCTCATCACTGTTACTCAGCAGACTGATAGTAATTGTAGCCAGTGCAATAAGGCACAAAAAGAAATAAAAAGCATACAGATTGGAGAGGAAAAAATAAAACTGTCCCTATTTCCAAATGACATGATTTTATACATGGAAAATGCCCAAGGATCGACAAAAAACCCCTAGTACTAATAAATGAGTTTATCAACATCACAGGATACAAAATCAACACACAAAAATCGAGTATATTTTTATATACTTGCAATGAATAAGTGGAAACTAAAATAAAAAAATGCAAGGTTATTGATAATCACCCCCCCCAAAAAGGAATAATTATGTATAAATCTAACAATATATTTACAGGACCCATATCCTGAAAATGATAAAACACTGATGAAAAAAATAATCAAAGAATATCTAAATAAATGGAGAGACAATCATGTCTCATGGATAGAAAGACTCAATATAGTAAAAATGTCAATTTTCCCCAATTTGATCTATAGGGTTAGTGCCATTTATATAAAAATTGCAGCAATATTTTATAAATATAGAGAAGAGAAGCTAATTCTAAAATTTATATGGCAAAGCACGGGTCCAGAAATAGCTAAAATAGTTTTGAAAAAGAATAAAGTGAAAGGAATCATTCTACCTAAAATTAAGACTTCTTATATGGTTACAATAATAAGAGAGTGTGGGATTGATGGAGGCATAGACACTTAGATCAATGGAATGGAAGAGAGAACCCAGAAGTAGACAGATATGCCCAACTGAGTTTTGAAAAAGTTACAAAAGCATATATTTTTTTGAATTAGTGTTTTGGATTTCTTTGGATTCCCAGGAGTGGAATTGCTGGGTCATAGGTCGTTCCATTTTCAATTTTTTGAGGTACCTCCATACTGTTTTCTATAGTAGCTGCACCAATTTGCAATCCCACCAACAGTGCACAAGGGTTCCCTTTTTTCCACATCCTTGCCAACACTCGTTTGTTGATTTTTTTATGATATCCATTCTGACTGGAGTCAGGTGGTATCTCATTGTGGTTCTTATTTGCATTTCTCTAACGATTAGTGATGTTGAGCATTTGCAATGGCATGGATGGACCTAGAGACTATTATGCTAACTGAAATAAGTCAGATGGAGAAAGACAAATACCATGTGATCTCACTTATATGTGGAATCTGAAGAACAGAATAAACGAACAAACAAAACAGACTCAGAGATATAGGAAAAAACAACAACAGCTGAGGGTTGCTAGGTGGGAGGGTGGTGGGGATGAGGGAAAGGTAAAGGGATTAAAAAGTACAATTTAGTAATCACAATATAGCCACGGGGATATAAAATACAGTTTGGGGAATATAATCACTAATGTTGTAAAGATTCTGTAGGGGGTCAGATGGGCCCCTGTCTTATTAGGGAGACCACCTGATGGACTGTGTAGATGTCAGACCATTATGCTGTACACCTGAAGCTGAATAATATGGAATATCAACTATAATTAAATATTATATATATATATATATATATATATATATATATATATAGTCATGGGACATGGAGTACAGCATGGGAAATAGGGTCAATGGAATTGTAACAGCTATATACAATATCAGAGGGGTAGTAGATGGGGGAGGGGGATTATCACTTTGTGAGAGGTGTAAATGTCTATTACATTGTTTTGTACACCTGAAACTAATGAAAAGAAAAGAAAAAGTTACAAAAGCAATTCAATGGTAGGACAGTCTTTTCAATACATGGTGCTAAATCTATTGGTCCTTCAAAGGCAAATAAATGAATCTCAACCTAAATATATTACTTTCTACAAAAATAAATTCAAAGTGGATCATGGATTTAAGTGTAAAACTACAAAACTTTGAGAATAAAACATAGGGCAATATTTTCAGGATTTAGGGCAAGCTGAAGAATTCTTAGACATGACACCAAAAGCATGACCTGTAAAAGAAAATAATTGTTTATTGGACTTCATAAAAATTAAAAGCTCTTTTTTCTATGAAAGACCATATTAAGAGGAGGTAAAGTTCATCTAAAGAGTGGAAGAAAATATTTGCAAATCACAGTACCCAACTTAGGACTTGTATTTAGAATGTATAAATAACTCTCAAACCCCAACATTAAAAACAGGGGAGAAAAGTAATTCAATTACAAAATGTGCAAATGAAATGAACAGAAATTTTATCAAAGGGGAAATATAGATGGCAAATGAACACATGAAGAGATATTTATCATCATTAGCTATTACGGAAATACAAATTAATCACAATGAGATATGACTACACCCATAGAACAGCTTCATAAAGAAAAGCAAGTGATTAAATAGTTAATGGCTGAAACTAAAACAATTTGAGCAACAAAATAAGTAACATAGATTATAGCCCAAAGTATAAAATAAATATACATTAATCCATTCTGGTATAAATAAATGATAGAAAAATAAATAAATGGAGGAGAAAAGATAAATTATCCTTAAAAAATAATTCCAAATATCAGATGTAGATGATCCCCCCTATCCAGGAGGTGAATCTTATAGACTCACTTCCAAAGAATAGAATCTGGAAAGGGCAATACATTAACGTTACACTTCCTTGGCTAGATGATCAAGGTTAACATCATGGTGATGCCATGTGGAGTCCATGGACCCACTGACATTATGTGATGATGAGGACACTTTTTATCTCTGTGGCTCTTTTCAAAACTGGTAGCCTCGGTCTAAGTATGAGAAAAATATCAGTAAAACTCAAACTCCAGAACATTTTACAACATGCTGGTCCAGAACTCCTCAGAACAGTGGAGGTCGTGAAAAACAAGGAATGTCTGAAAAACTGTCACAGACCAGAGGCCACTAAAGAGATATGACAGCTAAAGACAATGTGGGATCCTAGATGAGATCCTGGAACAAAACAAAAACATAAGTAGAAAAAAGAAGAACAAACAAAACCCTGCTGAAATCTGAATAAAGCCTGGAGTTTAGTTAATAGTAATGTCCCCATGTTGGTTTCTTAGTTTTGACAAATGCACCACAGAAATGTAAGATGATAACATTCGGGGAAACTGAACCTGAGACGTGTGTGGGAACTCTCTGTACTGTCTTTGTAACTCTTCCAAAGATTTAAAATTGTTCCAAAATGAAAAGTATGTTTAACAAATACTATTTTACGAGTTAAGCAAAAGTATAAAGTTCCCAAGAATAAATAAAACGATGTGTAAGAACAAATATAAAACTTTACTGACAGATAATAAAGATCTAAATGAGTGGAAAGGTATAACAAGTTCATTCTTTAGATATGTCAGTTCTTCCTAAATTGCAACAGCGACAGCAAAAAATGTCCTCGTGTTGCCAATTCGTTGACCTTTAGGTCATAAAAGTTTTAAAAAGAAGGCTAGAGAATTTAATTTAAATAGAAATGATTAATTGTGAGACACTTTTAATGGAAGATTTAATGTACCTAATGTACCGGTCACCATAATTATTAACTAAATGTCATCATTTCAGTTATTTTTTCATTTCACGAACAAACACGCACTGAATGCCCTATGTATCAGGGGCTCTGTAGAAACACTCTTCAAGAATGAGCAAGTTGTGGGTCAAATTGCTCTGCTACCTGATAACAATCCTCAATATTATTTTGAAGTTAAAAGTAGTGAGGTCAATAAAGAGAAACCTAAGTTCCAAAGAAAATTTAGGACCAGAATTAACTGGCACTTGTTGAGCTCTTCACATCTCCTTGGTAGTATGTAGATAGGACTCCCACGTGTTTAGCGTGGAGCTCATCAAATGAGAACAAGGGCAAACCAAAGGGACTTGATGGCGCAACTGAACGAGGCAGTCACGGAAAACATGAAGTTTGCAGTTCTGAAGTAACAGGACCCCCCGTGTCCCACAGGCTGGGGTATACTATCTGTTCACTGCTTCCAATAGCCTCAGGAGGCCATGTTATTATGATTATGTTACAGATTAGGAAATAGACTTAAAGAGGTTACTTAATATATTGAAACCCGTATAGCTAGTAAATGATGGAGCCAGCATTAGAGCCCAAATCCATACCGTCCATCTCTGCTTGATTCTCCTGAACTGACACTATGATCAGAAGTTTCTCTGCAGGACAACAAACAATGACAATGTATTTCCAATATTCTGGCACCCAGTGAGCCTGTGTGTTTAGGTAAGGGTGAAAATGGAATCGCTCGTTTTTCTCTTGTTAATAAATCCTTAAGTCAAGCAAACTCTAAATATAAATGCCTTGGAACTCAGCGGAACTGTGGGGGTTTTTTATTATTAAAAAAAGGGGGGATTGAATTTCAAGACCAGTGATTTCTGGGAAGAGCCGTACATGTGAGTAGCGCTAGTGCACGGGAGGTCCCGCCATATTGGGACAGGTCCTAATTGGCGGAAAGAAAAGGAAAGATTCATAATGAATATAATAACAGGGAGAGAGGGAACAAAACAAGACTCCTTTCTCTACTCCTTCTAATCAAGGGGCCTGATAAAAGACACAGACACACAGCAAGAACGTTCCAAGGTTGAATCACATTGACTTCCAAACCTGTGTCATTTAAAGTGTAGGTTCAGAAAAATAAGCAACCAACAGTCAAACAAAGCCCTCTCATCTTGGGCCAAATGCTGAGCTGAACTAAAGCAGGATATTTTCTAGAAGGTTATTAAATGTTTGGCAAACATTAAGCAATCCTGTATTTGTTATACAATTATTCTGAAGCTCCCACAGCTTCAGTGATTCTAATAGGTTTAAGTAAAGAGCAAATATGGGGAAATTGTTAATGACCACTATTCAAATGGACAAATGTGAAACACAAGGGCGGGACCTCTTTCATCATTTATATTATTACAGGTGCCCACTTTGATGGCTTGTCGCGCTGGTGCCTTTGATCTCTGTAGAAACCGCTTTGCTCCACTTCAGAAGAGACTGTCATGTGCCCCATTCGCTGGCCTTTGGATCAAACCAGCAGCAGACCTCACAGATAGAACCCCACCACTGGCCATTCACAAAGAGGGGAACTGTAAGTCCTTTGCGTCACTTCCAAACGTTTCTGTCGACAGAGAACAGTTAAGAAAAAAAATTCTGTTAGCTAACGTTGCCATCTGCTTTGGTTACTAATAAGGCCTTCATCAGGAAGTGTTTTGCCAAAGCCCTTTTATTTTTGGCTATTTAAGGAATAAAAAATTGAGCCTGGGTAGACGTTATAAAAAATGCCTAAGTGTTGGTTTTATGCCTTTGCAGTTGCTGCTGATAACACTCCTATGTGCGATTCCAAACCTGATTTTAGGGAAGGATGTTTTGATGGGCAGGAGGCCGCCTTTGGATTTTCCATGGGGTTTTTTTTCCTACTAGCACACATTTTTCATCTTGGGGACAGTAACACATACATTTTTGAGGTAAAGGAAAGACATTTTGCCATCATGGGGGACAGAGTAAATATATCTGGTCCTTGTAAGGATTGAGAGCCTGACTCATTTACACTGTGTTTTACTTATCTAAGACTAAATTAAGAAAAGTGAAACGGTAGGGTGGACTAGCTTCACATTTGTAGTCAAGGTCCTAGGACCAAACCTAAAATTTAACGTTTATTAGTTGGCTCATCATGGGTAAGTCGATTCATACCTCACAGACTCCTTGTCTCTTTCTGAGACTAATATCATCAGCTTGTCTCCATGAACAGTTGATTTAATACTTACGAGAATAGTTTGTAAATGGTGAGCCCTGCATTGATATTGACTAAAAGGAAGACGGGGCCACAAGGCTCAAGTTGTAGGGAATTTGGGAGAATATTCTAAGGAGCTTTTAAACAGCACATTGTGGAAACATGAAATACTGATTTATGTTTGTTTTCTATTGCTGCGGAAGCGTTTACCACACACTTTGCGGCTCAAAACAACACACGTTTATATCTCATGGGAGTCTGGGCCTGGCTTATCTGGGTTCTCTGGAAAGCTATAATCCAGATGTCAGCCACAGCTGGCCTCTCATCTAAAGGCTCCACCGGATCTGCTACTAGCCCCGCTCAGGTTGTTGGCAGAGTTCACCCCTTTGCGTTTTCTCTGATTAGAAACAAGGCGCTAGTCCCGCTTACGCCCACGGGGAGCAGTTTTCACAAAGATGTGAACACCTGAACGCAAGGGTCATGAGGCTGCCTCAGAGTCTGTCCACCAAACTATTCAGTTTCAGGTCTCTCGATGTTAAATATACACATCAGAGCATTTCTTCATCTCCTAGAATACAGACTTTCAGCATTGACCACCCTCCCCTTTTTTTTTTAACAGATCCTACTGTAGAAACGAGCACGTGATATAAAAATAGAACATGCCATGTCCCTGCAAAGTGCAGATATACAGAGTTTTCTACTTATCAGCCAACACTGGGAGTCGGATCTTACTATTCTCCTCTAAAACAAGGTGAAGTTTCTTTTCACTTGTGATGTTTCAGCGAGGTCGGGAAGTCACAGTGAGCGTTGCCATATGGGCCAGTTATCTTGTGATTGCCCTTCTGTAATCATTCTCCATCTTGCTCGGTAACCTGGGACCTGTATAGTTTCCATCAAGTCCCCTGAATTCCAGTGGTGTTCAGTCAGTGGGAGGCCACAGCAGGAGTGAAGAGATAAGAAGAGTGAAATCATTTCATGTATCCCCGACCCCCCTCTCTTAGGGGAGCAGCTTAGGCTTCTTGTTCCCCCACCTCCACCCCCACGCAAACATTATCTTCTTCTCATGGCGGTTCCTCATAGGATGCTCCTATCAGGATTCAGTGACTTTTCTCATACGTCGTCCATTAGGCAAGATGATAACACTTTGGATGTCACTATCCCTGGGATGCTACCATAAGTGTGTGCGTGTGCTTGTGTGTGTGTATGTGCATGTGTGCACGTACATGTATGTGGGCATGTGCATGCATGTACATGTGCATGTGCATGTGTGAGTGCATGCATGTGCGTGTGTGTGTGGAGTTTCTCTGAGCCCTCCCCACAATTTTACCAATAGTTTTTTTATTAAATCTTCCTCAACTTACTATATAGTGAGTGTGACATTTTTTCTTGCTGGCATGCTGGTAGATATATCACCCGAAGCATTTAAGTTTTATGAGCTCAGGGGTTTGTGCATAAGAGGTAATCAGAAATTGTCGTTGAATGAATGAGAAAAAAAATGACCAGTTGCCGATGAATGTGGCCTTTTCCTCGTTTGATCGTTCAGTGTATCTTGAGGGGCTTCCTCTGCCTCCTAGAGCTCTCCAAGTAAGGAGAGCCAATGTGATGGTCCGTGTCTCCTGGAAAATCTTCCTAGAGGCTTGAGATGATAAATATTGCCTGTTTCAGAAGAGATCAGAGCATTGATTTTCTGCTTTTTCCCTTACCCTTATCCAGGAGACAGATATGGGAAGGAGGGGAAAGCAAAATGTGTATGTTTTCAGCAGGATCTCAGTGCTAATTTCTGTTTAATAATGTCATAATCCACATCTTCCTTTGGTGGAAGAAGCAAGGCAGAAGCAAAGGTTTTAATATTAAAGAATTATTGTAACATATTAGAAAAAGAAAATAAATATGAATATTGGATCAAGCTAAAATGAGAAATAGGCACTCTAAAGGACAATCTAAGTAAAAATATGTGAGATTGTGGAAGCGTGAAGTGTTTGATCTTTAAAGATAATTAAAAGGAAATTTGGCTGGCTATCCAATATTGCATTGTGGATAAAAAATTGGGAAACTATGTGAAATTCAATCAATAATTTTGAAGTTTTGTTAGGACGGGGTTACAGGACTGTTTCTGGTGTCAATATTTGCTCAGTGGTGTCTGATCAATGAGATACCCCTGAGATGTCTCAGGCAGCTGTTCTCATCACACAGATATGAGTTATCATAGTTTCAAATAGGAAGTCAACAGCTGCCAGACTTCTGGGCGATGTCTACATTCTTTTCTCCTATTAGTTTTGACATTACAGACACAAGATATCCTGGATGGACCGAAGACTTTGGTCCATTTCTAGACATAGAGTCATTTTGCTTGTTTGCTCGCCAGCTCACGGGTCTCAGAGTTCCTTTCTCTCCGTCTACTTCCTGTACAACTATAAAAGTAGGGCACAGCCCGTCAGGACCAAAGACCTGCCACTCTCTAGACAGAGCATTCCACGTTTAACAGGAGCGAGGACCTGGCTCTGGTCCTCTTCAGAGACATCCTTAGTTGGAAGCTATGCTCTGTACGTTGGGCCCTATGGAATTTTCCATGAAGGCGTTTTAGAGGGAATTCTTGTGTTTACTTACCTCTACAAAACTCAGTTGCTCAGAATAGTAAATGCACATGTCACATTCTGCCCATAAACATCTTCGGAGGACTTGCACTGATTCGTCATTCCTATTTTTGAAGCCTTGGCTGCAAGGCTCTGGCAGCCGCCGTGGCCGAGGCACCAGGGGTGCAGTGCTGCATCCAGACTCCGGAGGCTCGTGCTCCAGTCCCCACTCTGCCACCAGCTGAGGGTGGAAAAAATGAGCCCGTTACCTCTCTAAGCTTCATTTTCATCTTCTGAAACGTTAACATCCAAAAGCAACAAGGTTGCCTGCATCGTAACTGTGATCTGTACAGTTTCAAGGTTCTCTAATGGGTTCCCTTAAGTTTAACGTGCTCGAAATACATTTAAGTCCTAAGAACTCATTTTCACCAAACTTCTGAATTGACCCATTCAAAACAGTTTTTGAACATCTGCTGTATTCAGTGAGTAACGTGTGGGGTGATAACATAAGCAGAATGCAGTAAACTAGTTCCCGAGCTTTTTCTTGGTTTCATGTTCAGCCTGTATATATGAGCAGTGCTTTTGCGGAACCTATGATCTCTTAAAGAGAAAGGCCATCTTCACAAATAAACCTGATGCTTGGCGGTGGGTAAAAGGGGAGGCTGGGACGCCAAAGCCATCAAAAGTCTCATGTGTCCAGGAACCATGGTAGGAAGGGCAATAATAGCTAATGTAATTGTTTCTCATGTGTCAGAACCTGGACCAAGCGTTTCACGTAGGTCAAAACAATGTTATGAGGTGAGTACTATTATGTGCCCCCTTCTACATATTAGAAAAGAAGTCCACAGATGTTAAGTGATTTGCCCAAGGCCGTAGAATTAGACAGTGATAGAATCAGACTGCTAATTCAGGCTGCTGTCTGACACTGAACTCACTCCTTTGCAGATACAGTCAAAATGCTTGGCATATTGTAATGAAAGTGAAATCTTTTCAACAAGTGACCGCAGAGAAGTCTTGATGTATTCCCTTTCAGGCCTTTGCATTGTTTCCCAGAGTTTTCTGATCCCAAGACCATCCATGTGAGAATCACTTGGATGACTTTGTTAGAAATATGGATTCCTGGGTCCCATCTTAGATCTATTAAATCAGAATTCTGAGATTGGACAAGGAAATCTGAATTTTTAGTAATGACTTTGGTTTATTCTAATGTATACTGAAGCTGAGAACAAGTTCTAAAGGGAAAGATAGATTTCAATAGAGAAATAAGTTGAGCAATGATTCTAGGTGGAGAGAATATGGACAAAGTTGTGGCAATCAAAGATAAGCCATTCCGCAGGCTCAAAAGCAAACATTTAGGAGGTGTTGTAGGGTGTATATAAGGAAACAGCAAGATACAAGTACAGGTCTTGAAAAAGTACAGGTCAATCTTTATTGAGCCTTGAATAACATTCTTAGCACGTTGGACTTTACTGGACAGTCCAATGGAGCCATTTAGATTTTTGGATGAAAAATAGCTTTTAATGTAGAATTTTAGGCAAATTTGTCTGGTAGCCATTGGGATAGCTGAGATGTGGATAAATTGGCAAGCTCTTACTTAATGGAGGCTCTTAATATCTGAATGCGTGAAATATCACTTCACGATATTGAGTACCTTGTGGGGAGAAAAAAACCCATAGCATAAAGACATTTTCTGGGTTAGATGTTGGGAGGATTGAAAAGATAGGAGTTTGGCTGTCTGAGTGCCTGGAGTGATGAAGCATCGGGAACAGGAAGAGGTGAATCAGGAGCAGGCACTAATTTAAGGGCAGATGGTAGAGCTTTTACAAATATTCGCGGTACCAGCAAGATACAAACCTTCAGGTCCAATAGGCAGTTAGAAATTCAAGACAGAATGAAAGGTGAAACTGTCAGGACATGAGACATAGGTTTAGATGTGCTGGGCCTTCCCAACAGAAGGAGGACATTGAGGGTGATGGAGTACATGAGAACACCTAGAGGATTTGAGAAGCAAATACAGGGCACCCCCTGAGTACCCTCAGTGGCATTGTGCAGAACAGACTGAGGGGAAAAAAATGAACTTTATTCTCAGGAGGAGTTGGATGAAACAGAGCCTGAAGTCACTCTTAGATATAGTCTCTTCTTAAACAGGGATGAGAGAAAGCCACGCGTCACTGTCTCAAAATATTACCAGTGGTCAGGACTACAAATTTGCATTTCCAGAGACTTCATGGTTAAAATTAAGATCAAATCATTTCCTGCTATGGCGGCCATGAGGAAGGACATGAATTTGATTCCGCTGAATAATCACAATAAAAATTAAGTAGCACTTGAAAACATCACGAGAGCAAAGCTCACGTCTGTTCAAAACCACTGCTTTGTTCCCAGAGTGCCAGACAGAGAGCTCTTCCCTGTCAGACTCCTCTGCTCATTCCCACGGGTGGAGACGAGCTCCCCCTGAATCTGCGACTACTTGGGACCCATTATGAAACATTCAAAAGGAAAAAATATCTCATCTTCCTGAATCATGAGCGTCCTCCTCTGAAAATACCTGATTGTCAAGGACTTTCTTAAAATTTATTTTCGAGCCCAAACTGAAAACAGAAGTAAGGCAAGCAAATATCAAAAGTAACAGGGAAACGCATTGATAAAAATGCCAGAAACGCCGAGTTCAGGTGACCCCAGGTTTTGGTGAGGATTCAGGGAGGTCCTTCTCACCAGAACCAGCTTCCCTTCTTTAGATCCATCCCCCTTCAGCCACTGTGCCTTGGGCACGCAAAAGTGTCTTTCCATGCAACGGGGAGTTAGCTCATTTGTGCATGGGGGTAAAGGCAGCCTTTGATAAATATAAAACCCCATCATTATCTCATTTTGGTATATTCAGAGATTTTCCTAAACAGATGTCATGGAAAATTCATTGAGAAAGAACATAACTTGTTACAAAAGGAACCCACAGATTTTTATCTTTCCCTTTTGCCTTAGAAGTTCAAAGCTGGGAGCAAACGACTTAATTGAGATAGGCCTTATTGAAAAAAGAACTGAAGGGAAATTCATGTGGCATTGACTGGATAGTATTCAGTGAATTGTGCTGGATGGAAATTTCAGTGCCCTAAAAGCCTTGTGATCATGTTTGGCACTTCAAACATGTTCCATTTTCTCAGCCTTCGACCAT